GCGTCGTCGCAAGAAACATTAAGCTTTCAAGAAAACTGATATACTCTTTATAGGCAAGATGGGCTACCCGAATCTTCCGAAAAAGTACTTTAAATTGTATAAATTACGACTTTGATAAATTGTGTAACCTGTTCTATTTTTAGGTATGGTTCCTCCTGTTGTTATTTGTAGGACAAAGTAATTTTTATTGATGATTCGTCACGTGATTAATGTCATTTGATATAAATGTTGTTCGACGAAAAATTCACTATTTATTGTTCGAATTTTGGTAATATAAGAAAAATTCTACATAAAGCTGCAATTTTAGAACATAAATTTGAAAAAACGCGAGGCTTGAGTAATCTTGGACTGTTGTAAGGTATTAGAAATTCAACGGATTTATGAAAACTGTTGGCTCTTGGTCAAAGTTATGAATTTTTTGTTTTCTAGAAAGAAAAACCGATGACTCTTGGTCACAGTTATGAACTCTTGGTTCTTCCCTTTTAAGCACAAGCCCTTGGTCTATAATGATTATCTCTTGGTCGACGCAATAGAGTTTCTAAACTTTCTAATATCGGGTTGCACCAAAAGATAGCGGATATACGACTTGGGCTTTTGATCTGAAATTTTGCAAATTTAAAATAATATTGAGTAATATGTTTGTCATGTTGAAACCCAGGTGTTAACAACTGAAAACTCTGGAACCCAAACTCTGGGTTGGGAATTTTGTATGTACTGTACTTGTACTAATATTTATATTAATTATTATAATGTACTAACTGTACTAACTGTACTAATCATTGTACTAGCACTGTACTTCCCAACCCTGCCCCAAACTATTCATATCCAAAGAATACATTATCGAGAATAAAAAACATATACTGATGTATCAGAAAAGGTGCCGTGATATGTTTTGATATGTTGCATAATAATTAATAATTGATGGGTTATTTATTCACTTTCCTTCTTTCAACTGTAGGTTGATGATGAGAACATATATGATGTCCAATTGAACAAAAATATGTTATAAAATTTATTATAAATCTATTATTTTTAAATAAAATTTCATTTTTAATAATTAAAATATTAAATATATACATAAATAAATAATATTTAAATATATAAATAAATGGTTTAAATATAAATTTATATATTTTTTAAGTTTTTTCAATAATATAAAAATAAATAATTAGCTTTTATAAAGAAAATACTTTTATTAAAAAATTTTCAAAACTTTGATTTTAAATTAATACAAAAAGTTACTAATTAATATATTTTTTTTTTTGATTTTACTTATAAATTTTATTATAAATATTATACTAATTTTTAAATTATAAGTAAAATTTCTGATTGTATAAGTTTTAGAATAAAATAGATAATGTTAGATTCTATTATAAAGTAATAAAGGAACTTGAGATATATGTATAGATTATTATGTAAAAAAATTATTGGTATTAGAACCAAGTTTTTTAAATATTTTATTTGATATTTTTGAAAAAAATTTGTATTATATGTGATATTGATATATTTGAAAAAAATATTTCAAATCATTTAATAAAAGATATAGCTATTCAATCAATATTTGATACTAATAATGAAAAAGTTGAAGCAATAGTAATTTTAGATCAGAATTTATCAGTTAGTATTTGTAATTATTTTAAAGTAACAAAAGAGAAAAAAATTTTAACAGAAACTATAAATTCTAATGATAACAAGATAAAAAGGTATATTATATTTTATTATTCTATTTTGAAATATTGTATACTGATTTTAATTTGCATTTTATATTATACTTATGTAATGAGTTTAATAATGCTTCACAATTAATGAATAAAGAAAATTAAAAAACTTTTGCGATTTTAATATAAACAATAATTATTATTAATAAAACTTTTTACAAATTTGGAGTAAATAATGTATCGCAATTTTTTATTACTGTATTATGTTATATTTACTATCTATTAACTATTACATTAATTATATAATTGTTAATTATTATAAATCATTTTATTACCTTCTTTTTTGTCTATTAGAAAAATACTGGCTAAATATTATTATATAAAATTTTCTGTTTTACTTATAATCTTAAAAAACTTCGAAAAATTAACTGTAAAACTTATTTGTAAAAAAAAATTATTTATTAAATTAAATATTAGTTTATAATAATTTGTATTATATTAATGGTATTAATGAATCTACTTGACGTAGTTTGTAACTTTCCGATTGTAGTAGTATATAAGTATTAAATCAAACCGATTATTAAACCTTTCGGTTGGGAATCATTGCTTTTGGTAATTCGTCTGGCAATTCACCACCAGATAAAACACCTTTGCAAAGATGCATAGCTACAGAAAATTGGTCTGAATCCATATATCCATCGCTATCCCAGTCAGCTAATCCCCAAACTTTTGCAAGTAGATCCTGTGATAATCCCGTCTTTATCAAAACAGGTCTGATAGAAGAACCGGGAACTTTACCATCAATCGGACGCAAAGAGTTGAATTGTGACATGACCGAAGCTTTATCAACCGAAGAAAATTCCCAATAACCAGGAGGAAGTTCTGAACGATCATAATAATTTGATTCAGAACTTCCGAACGGATTACGTTCAGCAGGAGACAACATTCTATTTCCTGCAGGTAATTTTGTAATTAATTTTGGTAGATCAGTAGAAAGTGCCTAATAATTATCAAAATTAAATTTAAAATAAGCAAGTCAAAATAATTAAATAAATTTAAATATAGAATTCTCATACATCTTCCACTTTTTCCAGTATTTGAGGCTTCAAACTATGGAACTTCTCGAATTTATAAATTCCTAAACCTCGTTTAAACTTTTCCACGTTTGGGAAATCTCCAGGAGCTAATTGATAACGTTGTTGTACCTTTATAAATTCTTTATCTAATCCACTAATGAGTTCATTCTGTTTAGACTGTTTACCAAACATTGCGGGCATTTCCTTTTTCAAATGTCCAATTATATAAGCATGCACCTATTATAATATTTGATTTCCTATTTAAATCAATGGTATTTCAAATAATTATACGAATTCAAAATAACATTAATAAATATTTACCTTTGCTAACCTAGCTCTTTTGACAATTTCGTTTATTTTTCTAACTGTAGCATTACGAGGCAGTTCACGTAAACTATCAAGCAAATCCTTTTGCTCTGATTCAATTAGTGTTCGACAATCCTCAAATACATTTAAAGGTTTCTCAAGCCAAAATGAGCCAAGGAATACTCTCATTACTTCAGGTGTTTGAACAACTCTACCTAATGACCACATAAGTGCTCCGTAGACCCGCATTAATTGTTGTCCATCTACCATATCTGTTTTGTTTAGTAAAACTCTAACTTTCTCTTCTTGACCCCTCAATGAATGAATTGCCATTCTGAACTCATTAGAAATATCTAATTTATGAGAATCGAAAAGTAACAATATCAGATCAGCTCGCTCTGCAAACCACTCAATGACGGACGTAAAGTCATAACCACGATCGATTCGTTGTTTATCACCGGAGAGAATCCCGGGAGTGTCAATGATGGTCATATTCTCCAATACATGAGAAGGAAGTTGTGAAACCTGTTAAAACAAGATAAACTGTTTAAAGATATATTGTTTATAATATAGTTTAAATGGATGTTGAAAAAGACTTGCCTGAAACCTAGATAAAAATGCTTGACCAAATTTATTTAGTCCTCGAAATGGTAATTGAGCATCTACAGCTGCAGCATTACCTGGGATGGCCTGTAAATCGTTATGCATGTTATTGAAAGAATTTGTTTAAAAAGGTAAATAAATTGCTACTAACTCGATCTTCAACACCATTCATAACTGCGACGAATCGATCCGTCTAAATTTCAATAAAAAATATGGAGTAAGTTTGTATACCATTGTTGAATATATAAATATAAGAATCATGAAAATGGCTTGATAAAATTTTCTTTAAACTCACTGTTGGCTCTACGCCGACATGGCTTCCTACAAGTAAAATATACAAGTTAATTAGGTTGTTTATTGTTTAATATCACAGAAACAAAAAGTGTTATGTTAAAACAAACCGGGATATTCTCTATCTAATAAATATTTAATAAAGGTGGTTTTTCCTGTTGAGTATTGTCCTATCAAAAGGACAATTGGTTTGGCTTCAATGTCACTATCAGTCAAAGGTGGCGAATGAAAACCTTCAAAATTATAAGTAGTTTCTATTGGTTTGATTTTATTACTATAGATTTTTTTTAAACCCTCAATTATACTGGCATAATTGTCGTCTCGAAAGGATGAACTAGAACCACCCTGGTAAGGTTGTGAACGGAAAGTTGAAGTTGGTGAAGTTGTACGTGTTCGATTCCATGACTCAGATTTTTTATCCATCGTCACTTATATGTTATTTGTTGAAGAAAAATTAAACATCATTAATAACGCAATGAAGAACTATGTTTCACAACATGTCCTTGTTTTTAGATGTAACTTCCACCAAAAAATCGCAGGCACGTGATCAATTTCGCCGACTTATCTATAAAACGAGTTTATTTGGTGTAGATATAAGAACTTAAATTCGTTCTAATTAAACTTGTTTATTTAATAGGCTAAAACATCATCATCAAAAAAACTTGGATCATATGATTTTATATATTTAATGTGTCTAATAGTTTTAATAAACTTACATTTAGGAATGTTAAACATACTAAAAATCTGCCAGTTCGAGAATTTTTTTTATTTTACTAGCGTTATATTTTACTTTCTAATAATAATTATTAATTGAATATTTATTAAATATATCGATGAGAAATTTGACAATTTTAATTAAGGACTTTATAAAATTGTTAATCTAAAAACAAAAATTACAAAAAAAAAGAGGATACGCAGAAATGATTTGAATAATGAATGCAGCAGTTGATCTTATTACTGTTTGTGTCATTTTACTTTAATTCATTTTTATTTTGGTTTTCATCCAGGTTGTTTGAAAGCAAGTTTAGAAATAAAATTACCAATTCACTTTATATATATATATAACGCCCCGCCGTATAAAAAAAGTTCGGAAAAAATAATGGTCATATAAAAAATGGTTCATAAATTTCGTCATACTCATTCAGGAATATTTTTTTTTTTAAGAAAAAAAAATTTAAAAAGTTGAACGAAATGGAAAAGAAGAATATTGATTCAAGAATAGTTAAAGAAATTAATAAGAAAATAGTAGCATTTTTGGCAAGAGAAGCAGGGTTTACTAGTATAACTTCTTCCGCAAATGAAGTATTGGCTAATGTATTAGAGACGTGTAAGTTTAAAATTATTTTTATTAATTTTTGCCTTGTTAACGGTATGTTTCTAATTAAATATTTTTCGTTAAATAGATTTCGAAAATATTATTAAAACATCACAAGAGTATACGGAATTAGCGCGTCGGTCACAAATTAATATTAATGATGTTGAGAAAAGTTTTAAAGAATGGAATATCAGAACTGGAGCCCTTGATGGACACAGAAATAAATGTCTTAAAGGTAAACCAATAAGAATATCTGAATTTATGTTCATTCGAATTTTGTTTATTTATTTATTTTATTTTATTTTTTTTTTAATAAAATAAAAGCAAAAGAAAATTACGACAATTTCGTGACGAATTTAAAAAGCTCATTATTAGAAGCGGAAACAATACCATCAGAGTCATCTTCAATGTCATTATTTGTTCCAGAGGACATAAATGAGAATGACGAGTATCGACCAAAATATGTTCCTTCACATATGCCACCATTTCCTGCTAAACATTCTTACAAGAAAACGCCCGTAAGTTTACGTTGGAAATACTGTATATTACTATTCCTCTTTAGAAACCATTTCTTCTAACTTTATGATCCTTCATAATAGATATATCCTAAATTAATTATTCGCAATCCTATTAAACTTCGAGAAATGAAATTGAAAGAAGTTAGATTGGTAGAAAAAAGCTTATATAAATTAGTTCAACATCAAGAAGAACAAAAAAAGATACAGAATATTCCGGAATCGCCTGATACCACATCTACCGTTGTATCTGCAGTTTCTTCTCCTCATAATTATGATTTATTATCGGGATCAACTTCTAGAAAATCTTCCACGACGAATATTCAACTTCCTAAAAAAAGGCCATTAGAACCAACCTGGTCTGAAGAAGAACAATAATTACTTAATAAATGTAAATTTAATTAATATAAATTGGGCTAAACTAATATTTACAATATGAACCAGATTAGTAATGATAAACCTTAATAAACATTAATAAACATTTGATCGATTTCTTTTTTTGGACCAGGGACGTTCAATTATGTGTCCTTATTTTAAAATTAAAAATAATTTCTAATATCTCGTAGAATCAGCCGCCCGCTCAAAAATTGAGACGATACGAGATTGGTTACAATTGTGCTCGTTATAAACTTAAATAAACCTGATCGGGTATGTCTTTTTTATTAATTCAATTTTGATGTAGTTTGGACTAAAAATAATTTAGTATTATTTCGGATTTACTTTTTTTAATATATTACTTGAGCAATCTTTCATAGAAAGTAAAGCATGTGGCAAAAAAAAAAAATATATAATATATATGTGAATAAATGCGAACAAACATCAAGCAACTTTCCATTCATTCATTCAATAACTTTTATTCTTCGCGACATTATTAAACAAAATCATCCTTATTTATTTTATTCTTAAAATTTCTAGACATTCGTTTCATTAAATTTCTTGAATAATCATTTCAATCCATAAAGGAATGCTTAAATCTTTTGATAAATAATAGTATATTTTAAAGAAAAAAAATAAATGTATAGTTCTAAATACATATTGATTTAACAAAGACGGTTCAATAATCAAATTCAACAAGATGTTAATAGATTTTAATATATCAATAAATTCATCCCTCTCTCTTAAAGGTGTATATTTACTGTCAATTATTTTCTTTTTTTTAAAAATAAATAAATAAATAAATAAAATAAAATAAATGAAATGATATTATATAAAATAAATGAAAATTATACATTATACTGTATATTCCTTTTAAAGGACTTCGCTTTTTTCCTTCAAAGATATTTACCAACTTTTCATCAACATAGCGTATTACCATTACTATATACTCCGGACTTAACAATGGTTTCCGAAACCGTTCCCTATTTGTCACTGATGGACCGGATCCGGATCGGTCCAATTCCAACCTTCAGATTTGGACCGAGAGATCGGTCATATGAGATAAATATGAAAAAAAAAAAAAAAATAGTTTAAAACACATTTTTAAGATCTCGAGTCAAATTTATAACGTTGAAAAATAGATTTTTAAAAACGTTATGTCTCAACCATTGACTAGTATGCTGGTGGAGAGGTTAATTCTCAATTTCTTTCATTCTTTATTATTATTAAATTGCGTAATCTAAAGTTTTCTTTCATTAGTCAAGCATTGTACTTGGATCCAGGTATATTCATTTGTTTCTTGTACTTGATCAAATTCTTTTCATGAGTTTCATTTTGTTAAACTTTTTGATTTAAATGTTTTACATTAGCAATTCGAGATTGGGTATTAATACCAATTATGGTGGTTATGGTATTAGTGGGGATCTTTAGAGATCAAGTAACGGTATTAATAGGAAGTACAAGTGGTAAAAAGGCTGGGATTAAAGCTATAAAAGAAACAAAGGCGTTAACCCGAGGAGTCACTTTAAGGAATTATGGAAACAATATACCAAGTTCATCATTTCTCATAAGAAAGAATTATCTTTGTTCATCATATAAAAAGGGAGATTTTTTAAAAAATCCCGCATCGGCTAATCAAGTAGTTAATCCAATGACAGATCCCGCTGGTATGGAAATGATGATGGAAGGAATGAAAAAAAATTTCGCCATGATAATACCTCAAACCGTTATTATGGGATGGATTAATTTCTTTTTCTCTGGTTTTGTTTTAAGTAAGTTCCTTCTTATTATATTACTTCTTTGATTCATGAAAAAAAGGAAAGGAACAAATTAAATGTAATTTTTTTTTTTTTTTTTTTTATAGTTAAATTACCTTTTCCACTTACACTTCGTTTTAAAACAATGTTGCAACGAGGTGTCGAAACTCCTGATATGGATGTTACTTGGGTATCATCATTATCATGGTATTTTTTAAATTTATTTGGGTTAAGAAGCATTTTCACATTATTATTAGGTGAAGATAATGCTGCTGATGGTATGCGTGATATGGCTGCCATGTCTCAAATGGGCGCTGCTTCTCCTGGTCAACCACAAGATTTTAATAAGCTCTTTTTGGCTGAAAGTGAAAACCTTGAACTAACCCCTCATAATTGGGAATTAGATGATATTGAAGTGAGGTTATTAGTTAAATATGGTAAAAGGGAATTAGTTGATAATAAGGATATTATTGAAATGGAAGATATTTCTTCTAATGATTTATCGGATGTTAAAGGAAAAAGTAAAAAGAAAAGGACGTGATAAATAAGCAAAATTTTATTAAAAAAATTTTTTTTTTATTATCTTTAAAAAATAGTCTATATAGTAATAAATTAAAATTTTATATCTTATTAATATTAACGTCTATATATTATTGATACATTATATTTTCGTTTCTATCATTTTATTGAGGGTTAAAGCGGTGCTCAATACCATCACTACAATCCCAAATCCAATACATAATACCGCCGGTAACTTCTTTCTACTCCACCACTTTCCGGATGACAGTTTAAGGAAACACGCGGGGGGTAAAATATAAGCTAAAGCTGTTGCCGAACATCCACCGGTCAACTCTAATACAATACCCAAATCGTTGGTTAATAATGACACCATCATTGCGCCCATAACAAATATTGTGGTTAAGGTCACGTGTCGTTTCAATGAAAATGGTGCATTTGGAAAATAATAAATTTCAATCGACTGGGATGATTAAAATTAAAAATTTTGTTTTTATTTTAATAATTCATGTGCTTAAATAAATAAATATACATTTATGTACGTACCTCTCTACAAACAAATGCTTCTAATGGTAAAGTTGTAAACATATTGAATCCAAAACAGAATCTTGCTATATTTATAAGAACATTATCTTCTGGAAAATTATTCAAAATATTTCCTAAAAGAAAGAAAAGCGTAAGCTTAAAAAAGGGTAAGCATAATTTTCAATGACTTCAATTAGAAATATATAAAGGGAACCTTCTGTTTTATCAGTAAACGCCAAAAATCCAACAATAGCTACCAATAAACATGCTAACATTGATATTCCCGTGGATAAATGAGTAACTGCCGCAAATCGGTTCAGTGTGGGTTTACGTAACGAATCAAAAATCAATAAACTGTTGTGATGACAAACAAAAGCTATACATATATGGCAATATTATTTTAAATAAAAAAAAAATTACAATGAAAAAAAAAAACGTGATGGTAAAGAACATACCAAAGCTGATTACGCCAATTGCCTAATGTGTTATATTAAAATAAATAAATATATATTAGCAAACAAATTGGTTTACAAGACTTGAAAAGTATTTTATAAATTCATACCTGAAACATTTCTGGATGTACAAAGTCCCAAGTTCCCTCATCACTGCCCTTGTATTTTGGATCAACATGAGGGGCCTCAATTACAACAGCCACTACAATAATAACCATTGATATTAAAGCTAACCCACTTGCTTTAGCCAGCTTTGAAATGTCTCGATAAAGTGATAACGGATATGATATGAAAACGGTACAGAAGATGATAACAAAATAACGATCCGTAAAAAGATAAAGGACCGGAATGTTTGATATATTAGGGAACAGTGATGTAATGACGTGAGGAAGCGTATCACCTAAATATTTACAAGTATTGTTTTTCTTTTTCTCATTTTAATATGTACAAAAGAAATTTTGGCCAAAATCCATCATATCATTAAAGATTATTTGATTTACCTATAACAACACAAAATGCACACATTCCTAGATGATAATAATAATAATAATAATCATTTATTTATTTAATTTATTTTTAACAATTTTATGAAGCAATTTATTAAAAGATCCTTTCTCACCTCCAAAAGCAAACAATAATTGAAACCCGGAAATTATTATCAGTCCACTCTTTCCAAAGCAAAATTGCATAACTTCTTGGTAAGAATTTCGTCCCGATAATTTAGCGTTATAAACTAAAAGTCGTATTGTCCAATCTACCAGATACGTGAGTCCCAACAAAAGAATGATACCAGCAAATATGCCAGACTCACGAAAAGAAAATGGCAAGCCTATGGTTCGAAAGTAGAGGAAAAAGAAAAAAATAATCAAGTCCTTATGTTACGATTGCCTATAATATTCATAACAGATATTGCAAAAGACTCTTCCTACACTAATTACGCATCATACAGTTAATTTGATCAGATACCAACCGATAATACCTATAAACATTACAACGAAAATATTTAAGAGATATGTTAACAAATAACAAATAAATATACTTAAACTATATTCTTTAAGCTTACCAGCTCCTATGATACTATTTGCCATATTTAAAAAACTTTCAAAGAATGAGCCACCATCTTTTGGCATTTTTAAAATATCACCATTTTCTAAAACTAATACACTGCTCGAATCTCCTGGAGTTGGTGAGTCAAACTCACGAGAAGCGTTAGATAACAAAGGAGCCAAATCACCAGAATTCGAACGTTCGTCAGTTTCTTCTTCAGGTGAATAACTCTCATGTTTTGACCCATGAGAAGTTACTTGAAGTGATATAGACTCTTCGTTTTCTTCATTATCAATTACAAAAGGTAAGATTTCTTGAAAAGAACTATGAGACATTACTATGTTAGACTTGGGTAAAAACCAAATGATAAATGAATAATCGTAAAAAAAGGTAAAGAATTGCAAAGAAAGAATATCTCAAACTGTACGTTCGGTTTTAATTCATTTAAATAAACATTTGTTTAAACTATTTAAGGCTTACCGAGTCTAAAAAATTTCCTATTTTTCTATTTTTGAGTACATGAATGCAAGACTTGCATACAATCCAATCAAATAACAACATCTCTACATATAAAGACATTTGTTCACCTCTAGTGGAAATTTAACTTGAAACCTAACTCCTTAACAATAATTTTAAACATATAAAAAAAAACATAATAAATAATCAAGAGGATTGTTCATAATGCAATTTAGGATTTCTTAATTAGAAAGATTAAGGGTGAATTAAAAGATGAACACATTAGTTAGTATACTGGTTTTAAAAATAATAAAGGAAAACCAAGATCCTGCTGTTAAATTCATTTATATCTAGTAATTTACTATAATTGAAAAAAATGTTAAAAAAAGTTCAGACGTTTTCAATCATGTGATGATTATCAATATAAACATCACTATAAAAAATTATTTTTTTTTCTGGAATAATGAACTCTTATGCAAACACGAAAAAAACGGCAAAATCCAGATGGAAACTACTTCGATCGGTAATCATATCATCATCTAATACCCAACATGAGATTAATACAACGAATTCAACAAAAAGGCATAAAGAATTTAATTTATTTCCTCGACGAAAAAGAACCTTAACCAATAACGATAATATACCACAATTGGAAGAATGGTTCACATATGATCTTTATGATCATGTGATCTTGAATATTAGGTAATATTCCCGGTTTTTTTTTTAAAAAAAAGAATGGTTTAATAAAAATTTTCGAAATATCCTTTTAATATTATGTGATAGGATCAAAGTTCCTAGAACAATCGATATAAAAGCAACTTTTTCTTCTGAATACTCTGGATTTTTGAATACGGGTAATTTATGTATTTGGCCATCAGAAGAGGTATTAGGTTATTATTGTATGAAAAATCCCAATTTATTTAGGTAAATTAGTTTCGCTTATTTAATTAAATAATTTTATTCCAATAAATATTTTAATCCAACTTTTAAAATAAAATAAAAAAAGAAATAAAAACGTGTGCGAATTAGGTGGCGGAATGTGTGCATTGGCTGGTTTGATTATAGCTGCGAAATGTCATCCGCAAAGCGTTACCTTAACAGATGGCAATCCTGATTGCATAGATAATATCCTTTTTAAAAATCTTCCAACATTCTACAATTAAATATACATTTGTTTAATTATTCTTGACAATATTTTTATGTTACACATATCCAAACCATTTTGAATTCAAATAAGGAACTCTTCTCTGATGTGGATATTTGTTCCATGCAGATGCTTTGGAATAAGAATACCGTATACGACATTCAGTGTAATATTGTCATATGTGCTGACTGGTAAATTTTTTTGGCACAACTTTTCTATTCAATAGAAAATGCTTCATAAAGTTTGTAATTATAAACTTTTTATTTCTACAGTACTTTTGATAAAGAAACACATCCGCACCTTCTTCATGCTATACGTTCAGTTCTAAAAAAATCAGACAAAAGCTTGTTTATTCTATGTGCACCACGACGAGGTGATAGTCTACAAGCATTTGTCACGTTGTTAGAAACAACCAGTGAATTCCGTATCGAATTGTTAGAAAAATATGATGAGATAGTATGGAAATCTCATGAGAAAAGTCTAAAAGAAGAACAAGGTTACTATGATACGGACGCTCATTATCCTCTAATTGTACGAGCTTCTTGGAACTTATAAATCTTTTGATTCGATTGAATATCCAAAGATTTAAATATTATATTTTCATGCGGGGCTTTTCCATGGGGTTTGATTATAATTAATAAATAATAATAATAATAATAATAATAATAATAATAATCGAAAAAATTACGAAAAAAATATTATTATATAGTATAATACTATTATTGTTCATCATCATATTCAATATCCTAAACAAATATCAAGAAAAAATATCAGATAAAATAATCAATAAATATAATATAAAATATATGATTCATACCTTTGGTTCTTTTGGTTCTTGATCCTCTTCGAATTGAAGTGAATCATCAACATGTGACAATATCATTGTTATAGAACTTTCATCTGTAATATTTAACGGCATAAAGCTGACCATGTTATAATCATCAATCTGCAAAAAGAAAGGTATATAATAAATTAGTTCAAAAATAAAAAAAAATAAAAATAAAAATACTTGACAATTATAAATATTTATTTCTACCAACCAATTGTACGATTGCCTTATTCAAGTCATGAAATTTTGGGTTCATTGAGGAATTCGCTTTATCTGTTAATAATGAAGGGTCGGGATCAAAATACCTGAAGAATCATGAAGATAAGATATAATGATGTAATAAGTAGAATAAATATATAAATTAAACACGGAAATCTACCTTTCTAGTTCCTTTCTCTTAACTTTACCCAAAAGATCCATTTTAGATAACACATTTATATGTGGTATCTCTAAACTTATCATCGCTGACATGGCACTTAATACCCCAGCAAAGAATTTCGAATTATCTTCGATAAACTGACTTTCCAACAAATACACCCCACATATGCGAAAATGCATTCGTTGTAAATAGTCACAATTCGTCTCATAATTGGAAAGTGTGTAAAGTTCGATCTGGCCTTTATAAATGAAGTATAAGGTAAGATTTTATAATCAATGTGATTCATCGTGCTTATATACGTGAATTTGGTCATACCTGGACAATCAATGATCAAATAATCATCTTCGTATTCTCCCAATTCTTCTTCCAGCCAATCCATATTATTCAATAAGAATCTTTGATTTAAAATAATTGTATTATAAATATTTATTGACGAACAATCAATTTATCTTATAATCGAAATACTTACTCCAGACAATATATTAATCCTCCATTAGGGCCATATCGTAATTCTTCCATAACATCTTCTAAAGTAATTAGATCTCGAATATCTAAGGATTTAATGTAAATAATTAAAATTGAACTACATTTATAAATTTGATAAATCAAAAGTATACTAACCAATCGAAGGTTTATACTCGAACTTATCAGCTGCTGGATCAAGGTTCATCAAATGTACGGAACGACCAATATTTTGACAATGAGTCATCATTGTAGCGCAATAAGTGGACTATACGTCAAATTTTCAAATTTAAGAATAAAGTCCAAACAAAATTAAAAAAAAGTTCAAGTATTATCATATCTAACCTTTCCTGTCCCGGCAGGACCCATTACAAGTTGTACGTAACGTCCCCTATTATAAAAAATAAAAGTTATAGCCGTTTATATGTAAACTAAAGGTTGTTATTTAACTTAACTTACATTATTAGTCGTGAAGTGGCAAACAAAAAAAAAGTGAACGGATCAAATGATAATCGGGTTCCGGTTCAGCAATTAAATTTATGTTTAATCAGAGATTACCTTAATTTCGGCCAATGAAATTATAATAAATAAAAAAATTACGATTTATTTAATGTTAACCGTGGTTTTCTTCATTTGGACTGGAGTACAATTTAATTATATAAAAAATATATGATTATTCTATTTACTATATTAAACATAAAAGAACAATTATAAAATGTATTTTCTTTATATCGAGAGATAAAGTTCGCTCAAATCTGAATTATTTCGTGCAGAATCTTTTTGCAATTCGCCTTCTTTACGTAATAAAAAATTGTATTTAAAAAGATTCTATAACTAATTTCATAGCATCATTTTATTTCCTATTTGTCACTTTTGCTAGGTTCATTTTATTTAATAGCGGAGAGAGAGAGTAAAATGAAGTTTAATTTTTTGCTTTAAAATATTCAAATTCAAAGTAAAATGTTGAAAAAAAACTTTATTGGTATAAAAAAATCTTTATTAAATAAATACAAAAATTAAAATTATTAACCAAGCCGCTTCATGGATCAGGAAATTAACTGATTGGAAAATAGTACTTGTTCGCTACTAGGATATACTAGTACCCAGGTTGCACGACGA